GTGGGTGTGGGTGTGGGTGTGAATGTGGATGTGGGGTGTAGGTGGGAGTGTAGGTGTAGATGTAGGTGTGGGTGTGGGTGTGGTAGAGGTGAAGATTCACACTCACACCCACATCCTCGTTCAAAACCTTCTCTGGCATCACCCTCAGTCAGACAGTCGTCTTTGCGTTAATTATTTTCATTTGACGATAACATAAACATGAGAATCTATAGAAAATTTTCGAAAAATGAATCCTGGCAGCTGTTGCTGAATTCTCTAGGGCAACTGCATCACAAAGTCCTGTTATCTTGTTCTGATGAACTTCTAGAAAACTGAAAGAAAAGACGTATAAAATTTTGCTACTTTTCGCTGTATTGAAAAAAGTAAAGATATTTTTAATATATCTATTTCTCATTTATTTTCGCTCAAACAAACCATAGAACTTGAAGTTTTCTAAAAACAAAAACAAAATGTTCTCTTGACTTATTCTAATCGACTTTCATGAGGGCTAAAAACAAAGATGTACAAGACTCTATAATTTTTTTACTCTTTTGAGTTGAATTTGCTTCTCTATTTAAAAAACTAATCGCCTAACTGTTGACTTTTGATTCTTTAAGACGATTTTGGAACTCGCAAAAGATCATTTTGATGATATCACTGTATTTAGTAGTGCATTTTTATACAAAAAGACTTGCTTTCGATAATCAGCTTGCTATTTCTGACGCTGTCAGTGAACTGTTATAGTGACAAATAACAGTATCTCTGGCATCTTTACGTTTTATCCTTTCAAAATCGCTTCGAATAATCCAAGGACACCTTTTCTCTGAATATTATAAAGAATTTAACAGCACGTTTTTCAAAGCAATCTAATTTTTATCATTTTTCTGTGCAAAAGTAGATGAAAAATAGATTTTATTTCCAATATGTTTCTTATTTTTAATATAATGAGAAGTAGAAACCTTTTATACATCTTTTTTCAGTTTTCTAAAAATCCACCAATGGAAGTCAATAGAATTTTTTGATTCAGTTGTTGTAGAGAACGCCGACAACGTATTTTAAAAAAATTCATGATTTTAGCATTTGTGCATGCAAAGATACATACAAAATAAACTTTGTTAATAACATTTGGAACATCCGATTTAATTCAGAGTAAAATTCTAAAATTTTCTCAAATATTGAGCCTCCTCAAGCCTAATGGCTCCGCCGCCTCTGGATGAATATTTCTAGCGTCAATGTCTTAGCGGTCCTCGTTTAGATATGAAAAAAATGAGAGAATCAAACTTTTTTATTTTCAAGTTCTTTTCTGTCATTATAGCTGTTCCATTTTACACTTGTGTAAGATTTACACGAAAGTTTGTTTTTTTTGAGAAAATCCGTCGAAAATGACCAAGATTCAACATAGAAGAGACATTTATCGGCCAGAAATAATGACATCATGTGGTGTTTTCCAACGCTTTTTGTTGTTTCTGATATTACATGATTATTAGAAACGTTTTCAGTGCTCTTCATCATAAACATCAATACCGTCCTGAATTTGAGAAAGTAGTCCGTAAACGGTGATATACAGTCGAAAAGTGATACACTCACGGATCTCTACAGTGACCATGAACGAGTGTCTGTTTACAGCATATCTAGTATATAATTGAGACCGTCTTACATAGCTCTATACAAATATAATACTCACTAACAACATACAAATTTCATACGATAGAATATGATGATCGAGAAATAATCCGAAAAACTAGAAGCTTTTCGTCTCGAAATGTTAATTGATTTTAGTTGAAGTAAGGTGAAATATTAGTAGATTAGTCTTCGTTTTGCTTTCGTTGCAAAAGGAGCGTATAGTCACTTCTATCAGCTGACATATAAAAATAACTATTCTACATATGTGACCGGGAACTATAGATGTGATACTGTGATTTCTAATCGATAAATGTCTCTTCTATGTTGAATCTTGGTCATTTTCGACGGATTTTCTCAAAAAAAAATTTTTTTTCATGTAAATCTTACACAAGTGAAATAGCTATAATAATAGAAAAGGACCTGAAAATAAAAAAGTTTGATTCTCTCATTTTTTTTTATATCTAAACGAGGGCAGGTAAGATATTGACATCAGAGATATTCATCATGATCTCTGGCGAATAGAATGGTTTTAAACGTCTTCTCAGGGGAGGGCACTCAAACATGTTTTCTCGTGAATTAAGTTGATTTAATTGAGTTAAAGTGAGCTAGGTAATTCTTTCTTTTGTGGTGTGACTATCTCAGTTTAACTCATAAACTCACAAATCTATGTTACCCCCTTACATCTTATGCAGTCGAAGTTTCTTATATATTCGACCTTGTATTATGCAAATCACGTAATTTGTGTTTTTTTAGACAAAATGGATCAAGAAGAAGACGAAGAAGAAGAAAGAAAAGAAGATCCAGATTTCGACAAAGAGAATTAAATAAAACAGTAAAATAAAAAAAATGGACAATTTTTTTTACACTGAACATTCTTTTTTTTTCTCCATCTCTTGTTTTCTTTCATTTGTGTTGTTGTTGTTAAAAGAGTGCCATGTTCCACCTCTTGTTCTCTCTTATTATGATAATGTATCACATACATGTGCGTGCGCATTCGAGATAATAAACTAAGAAAGAACCACAAGTGAGATAAAGTTTTTTTTTTGTTTTGGTTTAACCTTGTAATAGAATGTCGTTTATACTTAATTTTTTTCATTAGAATGAGCAAGATGTCTAAAAGAATTTGATTGGAAATGTTTCTTGAATATCACAAAAATCATCGTAAAACTCCTCTGCAATTACGGCCACAATTTATTATTGAAACATATTTGTTTGAGCGTTTTCGTTATCCATTTTGAATCTTTTGAAGTACCATGTATACGTAACTCTTCATTAGAACACACGCTTTAATGTGATATTAAAATAATTACTGTTAACATCAAAATATAATGTATCTCACTATTTTTAGAAAATCTCGCGAATGACAGCAGCTGGAAACCTACTATTTTCAACATTCAAAAGAGAAATGTGAGAAAATAAAACATCAGAGAATTATCTTGACTTGTATTTGTTAAATTGGTCAGTTTTTGCTGTAGATTTCGGCAAAGACATTTCTCTGTTGAGCTATGCAAAATGAACTTCTCTAACTTATTCTAAAGCCTTGAAATCAATCAATTGATCATTATTCATTCAAAATAGTATTGAGTATGGCGTAGTCAACTAAGCTAAGTCGAATAGTGATGTTTATTTTTTGTTGTGAAACTATCTAGAGTGAGTAGTGGTCAGTTGACCGATTTCCAGACTTTCAGTAAAACGCTTACAATTCTTGGATGAAATAAGTTAGAAAAATCGACCTTGTGTAGTTAGACAGAGAAATGTCTTTGCTATCGATTGAATAAATTACAAATTATAGTTAGTTGAGAGAACTTTTTCGAAAGGTCTTGACTGAAATTTACAGCAAAAGCTGATCAACTTGTCTAATACATAATCAAGACGATTCGATGGAATGTTATTTCCCTCACATTTCTCTTTTGAATGATGAAAATCGTAGGTTTACAGATGCTTTCATTTTCAAGATATTTCAAAAACGATGAGATAAATTACATTTTGGCGTCGACAATAATATAGGATAAAGATACTGAAACAGTAGACTGTTTGATAAAAAGATTTAATAAGATCAATTTAGTAGTTATAACACAAAAAGAAACTTTTGTTTGAATATTTCATCGAAAAGTTATGTCCTATTCTAAATAATATCGTTTGAACGAAGACTCATTAAGATTTTTGTTTCATATAAAATATATAATTTCTAGTTTCTTCTATATCGGAGTACAATAAATTTTTTCGACTGTGACGAAAAATCGATGATATTAGAATATATTATAAAAATGTTGATTTTTGTATTAGATACTTTGCTGTTCGTAACAAAACAAAAAACATGAGGTCTATAGGATATTCCATTACAATCCTATATCAGAAACAAAATTAATGCAGAACTTTTGCCCCAAACATTATTTGTTTGTAACCAACGACGCAAAAAAAGAATTACGTTATCAACATTTTTAACATGCCTTCTTTTTTTAAGACTAAACTGAATTCAATTTTTACTAAAAAATATGGTATACTGAAGAGAACAAGAAAGATTGGAAATACTGACAATTTAATTCTTCAGAGCATAAGATTGGAGAGGAGAGGTTGCAATATTTGCTCGAACTAAATTTTTTCCTTGCATTCCGCCTTTTCCTAGAAATTTTCTGTTACGAACAGTTATTGGTTCTCAATCTTTTGATGAGCCGAACGAACTATGCAAGAAAAACGAATCAGCTATTTTCTCTTAAACAAAAGCTTTTTCTCAATATTACAAAGAGAATTAGCTGTTTTCGTTTCAAGAAGTACAATCTACTCAATAGTTTGGAGAAAATGATTCGATTTTAAGAGAAACAGAATCGGATCAACAGAGAAAAATAGATCAGTCCGTCCTTATTGAAAATGAAAATCTTAAAACTTCCAGTTGAAAATATATTTTACTGGAAAAAAAATTAATGGAAAAAATTCTTCCTCTCGATGAGCAGAACCAAACGAAAGCTATATAGTCTTTTTGGCATCATGAATACGTATCTCGCAAAAAGTGAACGAGCAATATCTCTGAAGAGTTAAAAGATTTTCAATCAAATATTGATTAACAATATTTGAAAAATTTTCAAAAAATTAATCAAGTGTTTTTCAATATTTACAAAGAAAATATTAATCTTATTAGATGTTAAAATATTTATATGGTCATCATTCATCTTATTTGGATATTCAGACAATTGATAAAGTTCAATCATTATGTCGTTCAATAGAAAATTAAATTGATCGAAATATTCTTCATAAAAAAATTTGTTAAATTATTTAAACATTTATTAAATAGTCCAACAACAATAAAGATATCTCGAAATATTCTTCAAGAAGAATTAAATTTTTCTTTAAATAAAGGTTTATCTCAAACACATTCTCATGGTATCTTTGCTCGATTATGATCAAATAAATAATCTGGGAGAATTAATAACAATTCATCCTAGTACAATATATCATCGTCATATTGATCTACTTCTTTTACCATCAATACGAAATAGATTTTTACTTGCACAAAAAGATAATTTAATTATTCATGGGCGTGATCCTGGTTTATCACGTTCAATTTATTCATCATGTCATTCACATTATCCTATTTATGATAAGACATGGCTTTCACATAATATTCATATGCAGAAGAATCCTTTAACACTTAGTCATTATATAAATCATTTTCCTAAAAATGGATTATCTAATGTAATATATTATAAATATGATTTATATCGTTTTGTACCTAATATTCGTTATGCTGAAATAGATGATGATGATAATATTAAAAGAATGCCATCAACAATACTTATTTCTTTAAGACCAATAAAAAAAGATGAAGAATTAGTTTCATGTTATCTTAATCTTATTCAACAAGAAAAAAAATGAGATCTTAGATAGAAGATAAAAATAAAAAAGAAGCCATTTTTTTAAGAGATATATAAAGTGAATCGTTATTGTATTGTTATTATACATGGAATGGGTTGTACACCTCTTCATCGATCTAATTGGTATGTATGGCTAGAATGGTGTGGGTGTGGGTGGCTGTAGCTGTTATTTTTCTGTCTATCTATGCATCTGCAGCCACATCCACACCTACACCCATACTCTAACTATCTATTTATTTTTATTTAGGGTGACCGGCAAACAGTGGAGAAGTATGCAAGTTGTCTATTAGAATACACAGCTATTCTTGAAATGTATATTTTTGCAATAAAAACTATTGTTTCCTAGCAAGTACGGTAACATTATATCATCGACTATCTTAAAGAAAATCCGTTTAACGAATGGATTTACTGCAATATATCTTTTATCGTTAAGGTACCAATTATAGACCACAATATTTACCAGTAATACCGTTTTACCTTTAATTATTTTCTAACACTCGTTTCTTCTTACTAAGACAATAAATCCGAGTAAAAGTGTCCATTTCGATTCATTCTACATCTAGGATAAAATGCCTTTTAACATTATCCTACTTTCGAATCTGTATAGATGTCTTTTATATGCAAAACACTGAATAGAGATTCCAAAGCGTAAAATTTCGCATATACTTATTATAAAATCAAGTTATTCATTTTATACCATCCATTGAGCTTCGATCAAATAAATAACTGTTTTTTTTCATTAATTGATATACAGAATTTTCTACGTTTTGATGAATAACAGAACATTGTTGCTAGTCTTAATTTAAAAAAAACGCAATACAGACAAGAATCCGAAGATGATGAATATGTTTAATAACCTTGACTAGGTGAAATGACAAAGAAATAAGATTTTTTTTTTGTTTTGTTTATTATGACAAAAAGATAACAGACAGTTACTTTTAGCTGGACGATAAAGTAAAGAATTACGTGAACTAGATGTAATAACATTCATATTTTTGTAAGAGAAACAAAATAAATATGCAAAACTTTCTATGTTTTGTTTATTTTAGTAAGATTTAAATAAATTAATAAAATAAAACATTTTGATTTGATAAAATTCTTTTTAGTTTTTATTGGAGTATTACATGTACATACACAAATATTATATGAATGTAACTTTGAGGATGATATATTACTTCATCACTGTTTTACGTCTCCTTTTTCCGTCGTTTCAAACGTTGGAAATCCAGGTATTTCAGTGCCAACTGTACCTTTATCAGATGTAACCTCAATCTGGAAGTTACAAAAAAAAATAACATATTGCAATTTCTCGTTAGATAACTATCTGTTTATTTTAATTTAGTAGAACCAATAGAAGATGGATAATTATGTATATTACCCTATCGAATAAATGATTATGATTAGAATATGTATTTTTGTAATGATGATCATTGTCTAACAGTAACTAATTCAAAGAGTCGTTATCAAGATGGTTGATTTAAAAATTAATAAAGTTCATTTTATGCGTAGTTCATTATTATAGGTAAATTTGGTACAGTACAATTATTTGATACTGCTATAGAATTTTATCAATTAAATACTCCAACAGATGGTATCAATAGAACAAATCGCCAATGTCTTATCTCCTATTATTACATGTCGAACATTGGTGAAAAAAAATATAACAATATTTAAAGAAGAAAAAGATGGTCCAGATGAGATAATTGATTCAGTAACGTACATTTCATTTAATGATTGGATTCGATGTCAAGTATCATTTGTTGCTAAAGCATCCAATTATAAAGTATGGTTGATCTTCGAAATTATTTATTATTATTGTGTTTATTTAACTAAATTTTAAAATTTATTTTCTTGCACAGAAATTATCATTTTCAGAAGTACTACATATTCCATGAGCACATCCCTGAGTCTACTCTTTATTTATGTTCTTGCTTTATTCGCTCGTTGTTTTTTTATTTTATTATTCTTAATTTAATATATTTAAATCTTCTAGACATTGATTTATCTGATGAAACAAGTTGTTGTACACATCCATAATATTTACAACAGATCTCAAAGTTCTATTATTTATCTCGATAAACTGTAGAAAACTAATATTCATTATATACAAAACTTAGCACACTATTTCTTTATATTTTTTGTTAATCATATGGTCCTGTGGCAAATCAATACATTACTGTCCATTATACCTGTTATATATCGTATATAAATACACTCTTTTGTTCGTACCAAAACTAGAAATTACACCATTCAGGACATTAAATAGGTATTTGAACCGATTAAATTTTAAAGAAGCCTCTGGAACGTTCTAAAACAGTGTAAGCCTTATTATAATCCCGCTAAGGCCCCACTTTCGGTTGCAAAGAAACCATGTGCCTAGTGCTTGTTCGGGGTTCTAGGAACTTTCCACTTAATGACTTTAGTTGCTATGGTCTGTAATGCAGCTCTGGTGATAGAAAGAAGGCGAGTCATGAAATCTAGAATCAAACTTACACATACTGTTTCCTTCAAAATATGTGACAGTCCGATAAAAGAAAAGAATTTTCACTTGTCTTTTCTCTTATTTTCTTTTATTCTTATTGTTTGTTGCAGACGAAACAATTGTTTTATTTTTTGATTCTGATTCAAAAAGATACAATAAAAATCAATCTACAGCAAAGGAAAATAAATGTAATAGTCTTTCGAACCAACAATTTGTGTTCTCGTAATCAATCGTTTGACATTGGCACAATTGCGTCGCGTTGCTTCTCTTGTAAAATCTTCTGTGATAATTCTTAAATATTCATATTGAACACTTAATTCAGTAAGACAAAGTAGATGTGTTTTGTTTTCGTTTAGAAACTGTTCGGTGCAAGTAATATCGGTTCTTGCAATGTGAAGTGAAGTGAGATGAAGATATTCAACGATTTGATACGACTGAATATTGTCAGACAATTTCTTCGCATTATGTGGCTCTGGTGTAATATCGGTAATATAAAAGGTTTTTAGCAATGGAAAAGCTTTAGCTGTTCTTAGGAAGAATTCATATTCGAATGGAACTAAATCACATACATGTAATTCGATAACATAATTAAATACAATATTTGGAAATATATTACCAATAAACAAAAGCATGGCAAATTCGAACGGTAATGTAAATATATGATATATAGTTGGATCAACAGCACAAATAATATTCGATACTTCTTCATATCCTATATTGACATAATTTTGTTTAATATTATTATTGGACATATAACGAACAAAATCATTTCTATTATTCTCAGCACTAAGATAAAATTTGAATGAATAAAGTCGTGGGATACACATTGAAAATTCATTTATAAGGTTAATTGGATCAATAAATATACCTTGATTAGCGATACGCAAATATAAAGTTAATTTTTCCAGATATAACATACGACGAAGAAGAGATACAATTTTATTATCATATTCTTTAATTAAACAACAACATATTAATGAAAAACACTTCAGATTAGGTAGATCATTCTATATAATGAAAAGTAATGCTTATTAAAAAAATTTTTTTTGACATAAAACTATAATCAGTAAAACAAATTTTATTGAAAAATTTCTCCTTTTCTATTTCAATAATGGTTTAAAAATTTAAGCCAAATAGCTCTTAATTCTTTTATACCACAGACTAGTTTTCTAGAAAAACAATTAATTTTATTCGATAACTATCATAATTGAACAATTACATTGATTAATGGATGCAGAAAAGAAATCTTGTTTTCCTTGTGTTTATCTCACTATTCAGTATATATTCATTTGATTTCAAACGAAATCTAATTGATTTTGTCATAAAATATATATATTTAAAGTAACAATTCGAACTTGGTATCTTTTACATCTGACCATTATTTTTTATTCATTTGGATTATTAGAGTTAGATTCAATTGTTTATATATTTCATTACAAATCAAAACTTAACAATTTCAATTCTCGTAAATAATAGCTAATTCTTAAAGAAGCTCAAGGAGTATGCAAACATTTTTATGTACCTTTTTTTCAAGTCTTTTCGTAGTTGTCAAAATTAGTAAATACGATTTGCTTCTAAAGACGTGCAAAAGACAGTTTCGTTCAAATCCCATTCCGATATTTGGACTACATACGAGTCTCTGCACATATCTCTATAGTGCTTTCTCATAAAACTTCATCATTTACAAATTTCCTAATTGTACTTTAACTCACAGCTGACATTTTGTTCGTACAAAAATATTAACAAGATAAAGTACACCTACCAAGTTGTGAATCGTTGATGAATTTCTATCGATATAAGAAAATTTAACAATAAATGTAGTCAATTGTTTGAGGCGACCATCAAGTAAACAAAGACAGTCACTGAAAGTGTTCACATTAATACATAAATATGTAAGAGTTAAAGAAGAAAAAGTATTTGATGGTAAATAACGAATTGACAACCATGGATATACAAGATTTGATGTTTCAACAACATTCATATACTCTAGATTTTCCAAATAGGTCAAAATATGTGCATACACTCTTTTCGTATAATCTTTCAATGATCCTACTGCATGTTCACAATCTTTAGTGATAAGATCAAGTTTTGTAATCTGTTGTTTGAAGATATGCCGAAGAGATGAATCATCTAAATTAAAATACAATAATAAAACATTGTATAATCTGTGCTATTTGATATCGTTGCACACTAATCTTGTATTTGATGAAATATAATCTATAACACTTAATTACCTGTGAAATAATGTAATGAACTGTCACGTTGAAAATTAAAAATTTTTAATTCTGTCAAATTTGGATAGGGAGTAGCAAGAAGAATACGTTCCATAGACGCGGGTTCAACAATCAAGCATTTCACATTGTAATGAATTCGAGGTAATATATAATTACAAAATCGGCCAAGCATTGAATCAATTATTGTAGTGTCATGAACACTTGATGTAAAATTGAGGGTATAAGAAAAAATTTCTTCTCGTGATATACTATCAAGCCGTTCGTTATTAATACCAAATAATGAATGAAGAACATCAACATTGTCAAGTTTCTTCAAAATATTAAATAACATCTCATTTGGTAGATCAAGAAGATGAACATTTGGTCGATTCATGTTTAATATTGACTGTAACCTTTTTGTCAATATAGACATATATATATATAGGTTCTTTGTTGACGCTGATCACCGTTGATGTTATGAAGAATAGAATGGATAAACTTATTGGAAGAAAGGTCACATCCATGCGTCCTCCAATGAAATCATTGATAAATACTACAGTGGACGTCAAAAGTCTCGCACCACTTTTTTGTTTTGGGTCAGATATAAAAATTATCCTATGGAATTTAAATTTCTTTTTTACCATTGGAAAGTACAGATCGAGTACTATCTATATATACCTGTTTAATACGAAAACTCATTGAATATAAAATATAATAAAAACAAACAAACTTGATTGCTAAGAAAAAAATCACATAAAAAACTACAAAAATATATTGTTGTTATAAGTTTCAGTATTTTTAGTAAAATGTGAGTACGTATACAATTGAGTAAGAGTTTTGTTTTGACATTTTTATATGGTTTGATAGAACTCGTCGAGCTCTACAAAACTGTCTATATGAAAAAATTTTTAAACCCTTTTCATTGCATAAATTTACTACAAATTATGTAAAAAATGTGAAAAACTCGTATTTTTATATGGAAAAAAGATTTTAGCAATTTTCCATATAGAAAACATGAAAAATGCAAGTTTTTAGTAAATTTATGCAATGAAAAGGGTTTAAAATTTTTTTCATATAGACAGTTTTGTAGAGCTCGACGAGTTCTATCAAACCATATAAAAATGTCAAAGCAAAACTCTTACTCAATTGTATACGTACTCACATTTTACTAAAAATACTGAAACTTATAACAACAATATATTTTTGTAGTTTTTTATGTGATTTTTTTCTTAGCAATCAAGTTTGTTTGTTTTTATTATGTTTTATATTCAATGAGTTTTCGTATTAAACAGGTACATATAGTTGGTACTCGATCTGTACTTTCCAATGGTAAAAAAGAAATTTAAATTCCATAGGATAATTTTAATATCTGACCCAAAACAAAACAGTGGTGCGAGACTTTTGACGTCCACTGTATATATCTTCCATATATGTAATTTATTCGTACATTAGTGTAATCAAGCGTTACGATATTGCATTTCTTTTCTATTGTAACATGTATACCTCCTCAATGATAAAAGCAAACTCTAAGAATTTTTTACTATAAAGAGAGATTGTTTTATTCTATTTTCAGAAAAAATCTCATTGGTTTTTCTTTAGTCATAGCTGAATTATTGGAGATATAGCGAACATTACCGAATTTCAAAAAATGGACTCTTTTAGAAGAGAGAAGAGTTTAACATATTACTATAAAACAAAGCAGCATACAAATAAAAACTCCTTATATAATAGATATTGAGTCTTAAACAACCTTTCACAATATGAGATCATTTCTTAATAAACATAACTCCATAAGATAAGAAACTGAAGATACTATTCATTATGGAATTTTATCTTTTTTTTGTATCTTAATGAAGTAGATGTTGGGACATTACGTTTGATATTTTTATGATGAAAATTCATCATTTTTTACTTCATGGGAAATACAGAGACGATTTTTATTATTGGAGTAATTCAGTTTTATTGTCAAAACGAAATCGTATTAGCAGCGTCTCTAATAGCAAGTGTACATAGCGGAAGCAAAATGTACTGAACATTTGCTACTCCCAAAATACACATTGCTATACACTTTGTCCAAATAGCAGAGTGTACGAAGTACATTTTGTTGAATAAAATAACCCTTGTTCCAAGGTAGTCGATTCCATTTTGAAAGAGAATAGTGAATTTAGCTTATTTTGTCTTTTACGATACTTTAATTTTTTAACTTTTCTTCAATCTTTCTTCCACCATATCAGAGGAAAAAAGAAAAGTCTCTTTCGCAATAATCATTTGTTTTCGATATTAAGAGCTATTTGTATTATGAAAACCACTCTTCCCGACCTAAAATTTTAAGCTTTTTTGGTTGGTTTTTTTATGTTTGGTATATAGACATAAATGCTCTCTATCCAATGAGCACATTTTGAGAACTGAAAACCTACGCTTTATATATAAAAAATTTGAAAAGCACAAAATACACAGAAAAAACCAAAGAGCTTCAGCATCTTTTGCATTCTTCTCAAAATGAATTTTTTGTACGAAAAAGGGTGTGGGTGTGGATGGGTGTGGGTGTGGCTGAAGAGAAGATTAAGACCCACACCCACACCCACACCCTTTAATTCTCTATCTTCCTATGTATACCATAAAAAATTTCAATGATCTGCTGAAACGCAAGCTACTATATCTTTTATAAAATATTTTCTCCAAAAAAGTGCGATAGTGCCAAAAGTCGATCTTGGCCAACTTTTCATAGTAAGGGTTTTAGAACCTCCAATTTTCGGATTGGTAGTTTTAGACATTGAAGTGTTGAATGAGCAAAAAAGTCGAGAAAAAACTTTTTATCGAGTGCCTCGTATATTGGAGTAATATTCGATCAGTTCATGGAAGCCCTATTGTGTGAATGATGATGATACTCATACTATTCGTTTAATTAGCGAATTAATTAAAGATGCCGGTTTCGAAGGGTTTATTATTGTAGGTGCACCATATACTGGTTATCAGATGAAAATAGATACAAATGCGACCGATCGTTTAATTACTCCACGAGAACTTTATCTTGATGATGAAACTGGTGATTTATACGTAGCAAATTCTGGATTATACTAAATATTAAAAATGTCCATCAATGGTTCACTTATTCAAGGTAAATGAATTTATAGTAAAAACGAAAAATTTTCTGTCTTTTTAGTTAAAAGAATGAATTCATCAATACACGCTTGTGATCTTCCTATGAATATTAGTTGGGAAACAAATGGTACAATAGTTGCTCAAAAACCAAACAACTGAATATTGTACTTTAAATTCTGCACATCTATGCAATCCAAAAGAGTTTTTGTTGATAAATAAAATAATCTTTTTGTGATCGATACGACTAATAACAGAATTCAAAAATATACATCATCAGATATTATAACTGCTACTAGTCAAGGATTAAATCAACCACAAAGTATTTATATTGATAGTTCAACGGATGGTATGTATATACTTGATTTTGGTTCGAACGATACAATAGTTTTGGATCATTACGAATTTCATTATCGTGTTCAATTGTGACAAATAATTCAAGTCGTGGAATAATAATTATCAACGGAACAGGCAGAAGTTATTGTACACATATTGATCAAGTTTTAAATATTTGTACAGCTGCATATGATTATAATAGAATTAAAAAATGGTTAGCTTATACAAATTACACGATCAGTATAACAGTGCTTGTAGACGGATGGTTTCCAATGGATATTATACTTTATTAGGTTTACGATATGTTCATCTTGATGATGGAACAGACATTCTTTACATTGTGAATTCA